GGTTATGCCCACATGGAGCCTTTCTGTAGTTCTACAGGCCCTTATGAAGGCCCCCTTTGAACCTTTGGCAACTGTGGATCTCTGATTAATTTCTTGGAAGACGGCGTTCCTTGTAGCTGTCACGTCAGCCCAGAGGGCCAGTGAACTTTGTGCCCTCCGTGTTGACCCTCCTTATCTAAATTTCCACAGAGAAAAGGTCATTTTACGTCTCGACCCATCTTTCTTGCCCAAAGTCTCTACACCTTTCCATACAGGACAAGACATTGTACTGCCTGCCTTTTTTCAATCGCCGTCGAATCCCTTGGAGAGATCTTTGCACTCCCTCGACGTTCGGCATTGTTTAGCCTTTTATCGATCACGAATGGAGTCTATTCGGTGATCCAATAAACTGTTCATTAAATATTCGGCTAGAGATCAGGGCGACCCAGTCACTCCTCAAAGGCTCTCTAAATGGATAGTCCACACTATTATCTTGTGCTATAAGTTAGCTAAGCTCGAATTGCCTACAGTTCCCCGAGGCCATTCCACTAGAGCTGTCGCTACGTCTTCTGCATTCGCATCCGGAGTTCCAATCGATGACGTCTGCCAAGCCGCTACTTGGGCGAACCCTTGCACCTCCGCCAGGCACTACCGTCTCAATGTTCGGGCTCGACGGGACTGCTCCTTCGGTAGAGCTGTACTCTCCTCCATCCTACAATGAGGACACCTTCCCTCCTCCTTTGATGGTAAGCTTGTTAATCTACCCATATGTGTGATGCACAGAGGCCACGACGAAGAAAAGCAGGTTGCTTACCTGTAACTGATGTTCTTCGAGTGGCCATGTGTGCAGTCACACAACCCACCCGCCGGCCCCGCTCGGTGTCGGTGAGTGGACTCATTCATCGGTACCGAAAGTTTCCCATTTTTTCTTGGTACTGATCCCTTTTTTCCTATCTCATACTGAGAATTTTTCCACAAGGGGGCACACGTTCGGTCGTCAAAGACTGAACAAATGGCGGACGCTCCGCTCTTTATAGGCCATGGGGGAGGGGAGCGGAGCTTCCCGCCAAAAACCATTAGCTGTCAATCTTCCGGCCAAAGGCACTGCACAGGCGCAGTACCCATATGTGTGACTGCACAGATGGCCACTCAAAGAACATCAGTTATAGGTAAGCAACCTGCTTATTCTAGAACATTTATAAGCTTCTGGCCTTTGAGAATATGGAAGTTGGCCATCCCTCTTGTGCAGGACAGTGTCTCCTAAACCTGTATTACTTTACCTTCCCCCAAACATTGAGTCATACTAAGAAAAGGGTGTGGGGGCTTCTGTGCGCATAATAGGGCTTTTGTGGGTCTTCTCCCTACAGTCTCTTGGGCCAACCCCAGCAAAAGCTGCTCCTCAGAGTTGAAGGGTGCTCTGCAATGGGAAGGGAGCACAGCAAGGAATAGGTAAATCAGTAATTCACCTGGGCTGTCTTATGCAAGCAGAAACACATTTCCACTTGTGCAAAGCACCTTAGATCCAAGCCATAGTGTGTTGGTGGTTCAGTGAGGTTGTTTTGTCCTGTTTTATCTCTGGACATGGTTCTTGAAGCATGGAGATGATCCCACTAAAGAAATGAGGGAAGATCAAACTCTTCCAGGAGTCCCCTTTTAGCTGGGTGGGAGTGGGGGTGTCCATAGCTGTCTCTTCTCATGTTTAGCCTTTCTTTTGCTTGGCTATTACTCTCCCTCTTCCCAGTAACATTGAGATTTTATTTTGGTTTTGTTACATTCTGGGAAGCTGTAACTGAGTTCTATTCATTTAGGATACTTTACTAGAAAAGAAGTGATAAGAATCTGATACCTTGCTACAGCTTCAGTAATTTTTATTTATTTTATTTTATTTAGGATAGTTGTACGCTGTCCTTTGCAAAAGTCTCAGGACGGCTTACATAAATAAAATACAAATATCTAACATAACATAAATAAATTAACAACTCACTCTGGCCGCAATTAAAATATGATAAAATTCAATATTTAAACTTATTAAAATATTGATTAAATAAAGAGGTCTTAACCTGGCTCCAAAAAACATATAATGATGGCGCCAGGCGGACCTCTCTGGGGAGCGCATTCCATAGTAATTATTACTATTGCAAATTATCTGTTTGTCACATGGATAGCTTCAGTGAGGCAATAAAAGCAAATACTGGCTCCATTGTTAAGAGGTGGGAATGAGTGAAGCTGAACTTATGCAAAGCTAATGAAAGAAGGCCAGGTGGCCAAACACTATCTATTGAAGGGCATATAGGAAATGTGTAAGACACATGTATAAAGCAAAGAAAATTTGAAGCCCACCACTGGGGGATAATGGATAGAAAGATTCCCCCATTTATGTTACTTACAGGCATCTAGGATGGGTGTTCATAGCAAACTGCAGCCATCCGACCCTACAACCATGGGCTGACATGCTGAGGTGTGGTCTGGCTGTGAAGCTCAGGCAGTGAAGGCACACAAGCAGATCCTGAAGGACTATCTGAAGACTCGGGCAACTGGATGTTACCCTGCTCCACTGGGTGTGAGGAGAAATTATCAGGTTTCCCTTTTGGAGGTGTGTATATATGGAGAGAGAGATGCAGAGGAGCCAGCATAGCATAGTGATTGGAGTGCTGGGCTGGAACTCAGGAGATCTGGATTCTGGTTCCCACTTGGCCATAAAGCACAGTAGGTGATTTCAGGGCAATCAGGGACTCTCAGCCTAACTTATCGCACAGGCTGTTGTTGTGAGGATAAAATAGAAAAAAGCAGAGTCTTGCAAACCACCTTTGGTTCCTTGCAAGAACAAGAAAGGTGGGGCATAGATGTAATATCTAAACAGCTGTACTGTGACTTCTACACTCCTCTCCCAAAGGAATAGAATCATTTAGGTCAAAGCGGTAAAGGTAACAGATGCACTTTCTGTCTTGTAAGTAGCAAATTACAACCCCAGACCAACCACGGATGGAACAAGAACATCAAGTAACTTTCTGTAGAAGAGTTGATGGTGTACACAGTTCATATTGAACTGGAAACAAGGTTTAAGAGGTTGCTTGTAACCTGTAATTTCCAGTATAGGTATTCCAGCAATGTTAAATTAGGTTATAAACTGTAGCATTTAACCCAAGCTTGACAATTCCATTTACAAATGAACTCTGCCTATTAGTTGTGCAAGGCCTGCGCCTGGTGGGGCTTTCACTCTGACATTCTGGCAATACGTAATTTAGGCTACTGCAGCAAAAATCAATATCCCTTGCCTGCAGTGGCTCATGTCCCCTCCCAATTCCTATGAAAAATTTCGGGGGAGAGGGCTGGTTAACCTGAAGCCTCTGATGCCGACGTCACGCAAACTGGGTACTCCTGGCCTCCCAAGCAGCAGCCTTTCCCTGTCGCTGAGAAACAGTCATTTCAGATTCATTCATGTCGTGAAAGAAACAGTTTCCGATGCACGCACGTCGATTTACCGGCAGCAGCTCAGGTTCTCGCTTTAGCATATCCCCTTAACTGTAAACGTGTTGAAAGCGGACCCTACCAGTTTCGCGGCTTGGCCTTTCCCAGCGCCCGTCCCCTTCCCCCTCTCCTAGATGTCGCCGCGAGTTTCTGACTCGCCGATTTATTTTGATTCATTCACGTGGGGTTCGCCCTTCAGTCGTGCGCTCGTCCATTCATTGGGCCTGTGGGCTGGGATATTCCTGCGGCAACGTCAGAGAAAGCTGCGCCGGGCGTGAAGACGATCCACTGGAGGGGGCCAAGCGCCGCAGAGGTAGCCCGGCTTTCCGGAGAGCGGCAGGAGGAGAAGGTTGCGGCGGCGGCGAGGGCAAGCGCTCAGAAAATCCGAGCAGGGGTAGATCTGTGCTCCGAAACCGTCAGACGGGAGAGCGGCCGCTGGGGAAGCAGGGGGGCGGGCGAGATGAAAGCGAGCTGAGCCGGGGACCCGCGGCACGTGTCTACGCGAGCAGAGCCGCCTGGAAAGGACCGTCGGTCGCCGCCGGCAGCCGCCGCAGCAGGAGCAGCAAGGCGTGTGAGCAAAAGGCGCTTGTTGTCTCGGAGCAGCGAGCTCAGCAGCGGGCCGGGAGGGTGCCAGCGCCTCGTGCAGCCGGAGCCGCAGCATCGGAGCGGAATCCAAGGGGGGAAAACTTTGCAAAGGGAGCGCGGAACAAAGAGGGCGCTTCGCCCGGAAGGCGGAAGACCAGCGCGCAAACCTCAGAACTACCGGCGCGAGCGCGCTTCGCAAAATGCGAGTCAAGCGGGAGCCCGGCGGGGGACCGGCAGCCGGCGTCTTGTTGCAGCAACGGCAGCCACAGCCGAGGTAACCTGGGGCTAGGACAGGCGGCAGGCTGCTGGGGACCGAGACGCGACTGGCGGAATCCCAGAGGTGGGGAGCGTTTGGGCTTGTCCAAAGCCGCCTCCCGTGTCGGGTTGAGGAGGCGACAGCGGCTGCAGTAACAACATTACTGAGTGCATGGAGTCGTCGGATCCTGCGGCAGGGAGGTCTGCAAAGGGGCTGGGGGGAGTCTTTGTCGCGGTGAAAAAGCCGCTTCTTCTCTCCGCTCCAAGGCAGAGAAGCCGCTTTGGGGAAGCGACCGCGCGTCTTGGCCGAGGGTTCTTTCCAGCAGCTCGCCGGCGCAATTTATTCCCGTGCAGCCCGGACGGGAGGAGGAGAAATCTGATTGCAAAAAGGATTACCGAAAAGGCAACTGCGAGGGGGAGCGGGCTTTTTTCCCCCTTCCCCCCTCCCTGCGAATTTTACCCCCACCCCTCCCTCATTCCCCAGAGTTATCTTCCCGCAGCATCAGAGGCCCGAGCGCCAGCAAGGGCTGGTCAATCAAAACGTGATCAACAAACTGCAAGAGAGATCAGAGGGACAGTGGAAACGCGAGCCGGGGCGGAGGCCTGCGGGCAAGCGGGGGGGGGGCGGTGTGGAGAGGCGGTGGTGGAAAGAGTCATTGCCTCGCCTAATCTTCCCTTTCGCTCACTCGCGCACACCCGATCTGCTTTCCTCTGGTTTCTTCCAAAGACACTGCATTGGAGCAAAAAAGAGGATTGCGGTTTTCATCCGTACTTCCCACGAGACACACACACACACACAACCTTCTTCAAGGGTCTCGTTTTTGTAATACTCGCGCTGTTGGATTAGCGTGCGTTGCCCGGCTGCTTCCCTGCCTGCCTCTTGTGTGTGTGCGTGCAAGGAGCGGAGCGGTGCAGTGGGAGGAAGCGATGCCTAAGATCAGAGGGAAAGTTGTGCTTATTCTTAGCTTTGTGTTTCTGACCACTTTCCTTGCTACGGTGAAAGGGCTGCCCTTGAGGAAACAGCGCAACCACAGTCCAAAGGAAAGGAGCTATAAGTTGGTGGAGGTGAGTGGAAGCGACATATTGCATTTGGGTTAAAGGCCTTGATTAGGTGCTCATCTTTCATTCTTTCTCTGGGGGTGTCTGCTGTTGGTGCTTGTGCATGCCTGTGGGACTTTGAGGGTGCTTGCACATACCTGAGTGTTAACTTATGTGGCCTTTGGGCAGTTAGTCTTCAAAATGATGCCCTTTTTGACCAGTCCACAGACAAATGTTTGCACAATGAGTCTGATCTTTTGTGCGTGTGCTTAACATTACACAGATTAATTCTCCCTTAATATTTTTAACCACCTGGGCACACAGTTATGGTGACAAAAACCTACCGAAAAGGGTGGATTTTTCCCAGCCTTTTCTGTGCACCCTTTGGGGTAAACGTTTTCAAATTGACAATGACATTGCTAGGTTCAGACAATGCACACTCAAAGGTTGCGTACAGGTTGAGTGTGGGTGGCTGTTAAACTGTGTAGCCCAAAACCAACCAAGAGAACAAACCATGGTACGCAACCCACAACTCATTATCCAACAGCAAACCATAGATTCTCTTGATGGGATGTTTGTGGTTAAAAAGCTATGGCTTGTTATTGTAGTTGGGCTTAGGCAACACAATGACCCATGTTACATCAATAACCTACAATTCAGCAACAACCCACTTTCAACCTGTACTGAAGGATGTGATGGTGCATGACAGCTGAGACCAATAAGACAACTCCGCTTTAACTTTGTGTGGTAGCCCATCTCTCTCAACACTCACGTCCATTTGGATTACCACACTGGCTTGGTCTCCTGCACTGCAAGCAGCTGAAAGTGAAAGCACAACAGCAAATACATTGTTTGATAGTGATGTGACACTATCTAGAACACTCTTCGCCAACCTTGTGCTCTCCAGATGTTTTGGACTTCATCTCCCATTGGTCTCAGCCAGTGGTCAGGAATGCTAGGAGCTGTAATCTAAAGTAGCCAGAGGGTACCAGGCTAGAGAAGGCTGATAGAGTAAATGTACATTCTAGCGGTGTTCCCAAAAGACAGTAGATACCATATAAATGAACAAGTTCTAGACAAGATGTTTCTATAGCTCTCTTGAATGTGTAAATAGTACTAAGTTAAGGCTTTTGGTCAGTCTTAATCTCTGTTGTCAGATGTCCTCGCTTTCAGCCTCAGCGCCCTTCTGAAATAAGGAACTCTTGATGAAGCAATGGAGGGTGAGGTTAGTTACTGCTTTTAACACTTACAAAATAGATGGCATGAGCTGCACTGCACCCAGCAAAGAATAGCTGGACCAAGTATTCTATTCTTCCTGTTTGTTTGTTTTATTAGATTTATATCAACCTTTTTTCTTTTTTCAAAGAACTCAAAGCCGCTTACATCATTCTCCTGCTGCTTTCAATCTTATCCCCACAACAACAACCCTGTGAAGTAGGTTGATCTGAGAGTCTGTGACTGACCCAAGGTCACCCAGCAAGCTCCATGGCTGAGCAGGGACTAGAACCGAGATTGCCTGAGTCCCAGTCCTTTGCTCTTAACCACTACACCACGCTCAGTTGTTTTCTGTTGTTCTGTGAGTTGTTCTTTTTATGATTACAGATGGGTCAAATCTCACATTTCTAGGGGCAGTTTGAGGAGTGTCAGAGAATCCTCTCAGCAGAGAACTAGAGCCTTTCCAGACCTAGGCACTGACAAACAGATCTGCAGACACATGTCTGTTCCATTATACTGACAGCACTTATATTTTAAGTGCTCTCCGGGTGCTCCATACCCTTAGGTGTATAGTGAACATATTGTAGGGGCTTTTCATAAATGGTGTTCTAAGGTTTTCATCACTGCATGAAACCACCAGGGCTTACTTTCATGGGCAGTTCTCCAATATTGATGAACCTGAAAAAGTATAGATCCATCTGTCCCGGTAATGAAGGCTAAGCAATCAATGACTACTACTTGTGTGGGCTATATATTACATCCAGAATTGGAGGCAATATGTGTTAGTGTGTCAGTTGCTGGCAAACATGGACAGGAGGGTAATGAGGTACTCAGGTCCTGCTTCCTCTAGGTAGTTGGTTGATTACAGGATGCTGAAGTAGATAGTCCTTCTGCTCAGATCCAGCAGGGATCTTCTGATATTAATGCCTTGCCCTCTTGTGAGTTTTAAATGTAGTCAAGGGTATAGTAAGCTTTTAAAAGCTGGAGCATCAGGTAGTGATTTGGTCTCTGCCCAACCATTCTGTGTTGTGTGATTCCTGCTTGGAACTCTTTCCTTGTGGATTGTTGAACTCTTACAAAAATTGTCATGATAGGCAAGGCCAGTTACCCACCTCACATTTTCTGTCCTGACAGCAAACAACCACAAGCCCTAGACAAGACCACAAATAGAACACACATTCATTCTTCACATCTGTATATTTTCTTGCTGATTTTTAAAAGCTAATCTGCCAGGTATTCCAATATCCTGTGACAGTAGTTCCATAAAAAAGAGAAATTTCTTTTGACTGAAAATCTTTTTATGAGTTGTATTCAGTTTAGAACACATCACTTTCTGGATGTAGCTTGGATTGTTAGCTACTTTTACCATAATTCATATTGTCAGGGTGTAAGACAGTGAGAGGGAGAGCACAAGCATGTGTATGGATTATTAGAATCTATATTAATGATTATTTCACTTAGCTAGATTGGTATCACATCTTTACATTAAAAGGTGTTTCAGACTGCTAACAGCAATAAAATACAAATACAATGATGGTATTTTATGAAAACAACAATAAAATAAAACACACATTAAATAAAACAAGCCAGGAAAAACATGGCAATAAACCAACTAAAATGTTTGAAGCCAATCCAATATATTTACAAAACAGCTTTGCCCGTCAGCAAAGTTCATCAGGCAAGAAGAACGGTCTCCGAAGCATCCCATGGAAGAGTGGACTGTGCCAGCTGTGCAGCTCACAGCTGCTGGTGCCTCACAGGCCCCTTCCTGTGGCTGCTGCCAGATGCCTGAGTCCTCATGTGCTTGTGTAGCTTTTTCAACAGGGTGTGCAAGTGTGTCCTTCTGCTGTGCCCATTCAGAAGTGAGGCGTGTGCAAATGTGAAGGGCAGCAAGTAGGAATATGCCCGAGCAAAGGCCGATAACTTTGCTGCGTGCAGAGCCGGAATGCAGTTGTGGCGTACAGCACAGTGGCTGAAGTGCTGCACACTTACAATAACATCCCCGTAGCACCATTTTCCGATCTACACATCCCATGTGGCATGAGGCTGTTTCTAGGATCGTGGCTGTGTGGCCCTCTGAGTGGTTGGATTACAGTTTCCATCCTCCCTCACCATGGCTATGTGGCTAGAACTGGTGGGAGTTACAGTCTGGCGCACTGGGTGAGTCACATCTTTCCCTTTCCCACTTGAGCAGATGCTCAGAGCATGAATTCATCCTCATGAAATGCAGGGGATGAAGGAAAGCGACCGTTCTCCACAGACCTGCTGCTGCTCTTTGCGTGTCAAAGCCTTTCAACCCCACAGTTGACACACTTCCAAAGGGCAGGAGCTGTTTGACAGTGGACTCCACTGCCTCAGGAGATGTCGGACTCATTTTTGCTGGCAGTATTTAAGCAGAACTGGATTTGCCCAGCTGCTGCCATCCAGATATATTCTACTACAACTCCCATCAGCAGTCACAGCCAATGGGTAGGAAAGCTGTGAATTGTAGTCCACAACATCTGGAAGGGTTCAGGAAGGCTCTCTAGTTGAATCCAGCTTTGTAAATCCTTCATTTGAGTGGGGAGTTGGGCCAGATGACCTCCATGGTCCTTTCTAACTTTCAGTCTATGATTCTATATCTATTTTGTGTTAGTATATACCTGCATCTAAATAAAATTATAGCCATAACCTTTGATGTAATAAGAACCTCTTTTTTGCTGCAGTCAGCTAATGTGACTCTCCCTTTCGTATGTATGTGTAAAGGCCAAACTAGACGAGGTGTTATTAATGCAACTAGCAATCATGTGCTTGGCTTTCCAAAAATTGCTAGCAAGGGTGGTGGTGATCCAGATCCATGGGCACAAATGGATCCTTTCTTCCAAAGGAAATAGGTTCAGGGACAGGAAGGGGCAAAGAGTTAAAACTTCCTCTCCTCGCTGCACCAGGGGCCTGATGTTGATCTTGAGCCCCATGCCTTCTACTTTGGTCGGCTGCTGTTTTAATTTGTCTCATCTTCTCATTGGCACCCCATTGGGAGTGTCCTTAAGTCAACTAAAGTGGAGCCTAACATTGTCTTCCCTATAAATTACATAGAATGTTACTTTTGGTATAGAAAAATAGAGTCACATTGAATTTTGAATGGATGAACAATTTAAAATTCAGCTCTTCAGAAGGAAAATGAAAGATTTCCTGATCTTATTTGAGCCTCCTAAAAGCAGGCAGAGCGAATGCACCTGTATCAGTCTCTGAGCATAATCACAGGAAGGACCAGGCAGTGAAATTGCTCCCTTAATTTTGGAGGGAGTGTCATCCTTAGCTCCCCCCTCCTTTTGCACTGCAGGTGTGAAGTTCTTCTTCTCAAATTTCCCTCACCCCTTGTGGTACCTTACGAGCATGTGAAACTTGTCTTAAATTTATTGGTTATTTATTCAAAACATGTTTACCCCACTCTTCAGCCAGAGAAGCCTTCCAGAGTAGCCAGCAGCCCATCAAAAGAAGACAAGCAATCCCTGCATGCAGGTTTTCCACTGAACAGACACAACACACAAGAGGAAGAGGAATAAAGGAAGCTGCATCACCAATTCTTAAAATCTGAGTCGTAGTTGAGAGAATGACAGGCTAAAAAGAGTCCAGGGGCAGGAGCCCCATGTAGCTCTTAGCAGTGCTGGTGGAATTACCTTTCCTCTTGATTCCCTGATGGAGCTTTGTAGGCGGCTGTTTTGGCTACAATTTCTGAGTTGTCTAGGGCAGCTTGGGGGCTGGGGTCCCCAAACCAGTGAGACGGAGCACCTGCCCGCCAGTCCAGTCTCACCTGCCTGGCCTGCCCATCC